AACCGGAAGACGCGCAGCAGATTCTTAACAAGGCTCGCAAAGCCATCCCTACCAGTTGGGCAATCTGGATTCATGCTTGTAGGTTACAAGAAGAGCTAGGCAAAGTGGACATGCTGGACATGATCATGACCCGAGCTGTGAAGTCTCTGATCAAGGAGAACGCTATGATCAAGCGTGAAGAGTGGCTCTCTCAAGCTGAGATATGCGAGGAACAAGGCAACACTGGCACAGCTGCTGCAATCATCAAAGCGACTGTGGGCTGGGGTCTTGACGAAGACGACGAGCGTCGAGACGTCTGGCTCGAAGACGCCAGGAGCGTCCTGAATAGGAATAAGCCGGAAACAGCCAGAGCCATTCTCGGTTTTGCTGTCGCTATCTTCCCATACAGTACGACGGTTTGGCACGCGTCCACCGATCTCGAAAAGCATCATGGTACAACAGATACCCTCCTCAGTGTCCTAGAGCGTGCAGTTAATGCCTGTCCCAACTCGGAGTCACTCTGGCTGCAATATGCTCGAGAGATGTGGCAGTCAGGGAACCCTGAAGGTGCCCGCCAAGTTTTGGGCAGAAGTTTCGAAGCTCTACCAGGCAACGAAATGCTGTATACTCGCGCTGTTGACTTTGAAGTTGACGCTGGTAACTATGAGCAGGCACGCAGCTTCCTCCAGATCGCTCGTGAATCAGCTGCTACCGACCGCATCTATATGAAGTCTGCTGTCCTTGAACGACAGTTGGAGAACTACGAGACGGCGATCGACATCTGCAACCAAGGCCTGCAGAACTGGCCGGGCAGCTGGAAGTTACATGCCATCAAGGGTCAAGTTTATGAGCAGCTATCGAAGTTACCGGAAGCTCACGAGGCATTCAACATTGGTACACGTGCGGCACCAAAAGCTCCAGTACTGTACATCCTCCTTTCCCGGTTACAAGTAAAGCAAGGTGCAGTCGTCAAAGCCAGATCAACACTAGACCGTGGCCGACAACAAAACCCAAAGAGCGCCGAGATCCTTCTAGAGCAAGTCCGTCTCGAGCGTCGCGCGAACAACACAAACGCCGCCCAACAGCTAATGGCCGGCGCCCTCCAACAATGCCCCAACTCAGGCCTCTTATGGGCCGAAAAGATCATGCACCTCGAAGGCCGCACCCAGCGTAAACCCCGCGCCCTCGAAGCCATCAAGAAGGTTGAAAAAGACCCCCTCCTCTTCGTAGTCGTCGCCCGCATCTTCTGGGGCGAGCGCCGTCTCGACAAGGCCGCAACGTGGTTCGTCAAAGCCGTCACTCTTGACAGCGACTACGGCGATGCTTGGGTCTGGTACTACAAGTTCCTGGAACAACACGGCACAGAGGAGAAGAAGGAGGAGGCGCTTTCGAAGGCTGCTATGGCGGAACCGAAGCATGGTGAGATTTGGCAGAGCGTGGCGAAGGATCCGAAGAATGCGAGGAAGAGTGTCGAGGAGATTTTGAAGATTGCGGCGGCGAAGGCGGAGTAGAATGTCGCGGTAGAGGGAATCTTGTATGAGTAGGTCTGTTTTTGGAGAGTTTTATAATCCCACAGCAGTTCCATAAGAATTCCCCGTTCTGTACGCTTTCAAATGCATTTGGCCCTAGTCAGGTGGTAAATCAACATGGGCAGACTCAATTGACGCATGTGTCCTAATGCATTCACGAATGCGAGCTCAGTCATTCCAATGAAAAGACGCTTACGTAGTCAAAGCAAACAAGGATATCTCATTCTTCTTGTTGACACTATCATCAACACGGGTATAACGAAGTCACAAATGAGCGCAAAAGCAAACCCATCAAAACTCAACTAGAAACTTTCCTTCACACGACAATAATGCGCAAAAGGGAAGATTGCAACAACTCGTCGTGCTCACATTAGGAAGACGCTCACGTCCTCACCACATGATCCTTCTCCACAATCTTCTTATCCTCTACACCAGCAGCACCACCCCCACCACCAAGCGGCTCATCAACATAATCCGCATGCCCACTCTGCTCGTGAAGTTCAAACAGCGGCTCCATGGGCGCGACATGCTGGCGCAAAACACGCTTCTTGAGGTACCACGGCAACTTCTTCGTGTAATAAGCCGCGAACTGGCGGTTACCAACATCAAAGACCGTATCCAATTCCTCCAGCGTGAGCGCCTTGGTCTCAGGCAAAAGGAAGTAAGCGTAGAAGAAGCCGAAGAAGTTCCAAGCCGCATACCAACAGAACGCACCGGTTGGTGTGAAAGCGGCCTCAAGAGCCGGCCACGTGAGGGAGAGGATGAAGTTGAAGCCCCAGCAGGTAGCCGTGGCGAAGGACATGCCGACGTCGCGGAGGTGGAGTGGAAATGCTTCTGCGGAGTATGTAAAGGGCACGGGGCCTTCACCGGGGGAGTAGACGGCCATGAAGACGTAGATTGCGGCGGCGATGGATCCAAGACGTTGCGGGGATGGCGTGCCATCGGGATTCTCGGGTAGGTAGAAGGATAATCCGCACCAGAGAAGACACAGACCCATTAGGGGGAAGGTTGTAAGCAAAAGGTTCCTGCGGCCGAATGTATCGATGGTGTAGATAGCTGGGATCGCGAAGAGAAAGTTCGTTACGCCGGTGCCCATGGATACGAGCAAGGCGTTCGTCTCGGAAAACCCGGCTGATTCGAAGATGGAGGTACTGTAGTATGCGATGACCTGAGATTACTGTTAGCGACTGAGGTAGCAAGTGAAACCGGGGGATTCCGAGTGCGTACGTTGACTCCACAGAATTGCTGCATGAACATGACGAAGAAGGCGCTCTGTGCAGCGCGACGGTTGCGGCGGACGATGAAGAATTCCTTGAACGGGTTTCGGCCCTCGCGTTCCGCGTTCTCAATCTCAAGGAGCTTATACGCGTAGTACATATCGCGTGCAGCTTGGATCTTGTGCGCGCGTAGTCGACAAAGTGAGTTGAACGCCTTGTCGTATTTGCCTTTCTCCATGTACCTTTGGTTCAGATCAGCTCAAGGCAAGGCCAATGAAGTTGCGAGTTGGAAACTTACCAGCGCGGCGATTCAGGGCAAAAGTATACTTGGACGCAGACAATCATCGGGGGGATACTGGTGGAGGCCAGCATCCACCTCCATGGCGAATTCGGGCCGCCAATGATTGTAACATCCTGAAATGCGACGGAGACGATGAAACCCAGCATAATCCCGAAAGCGGTCCACATTTGCCACATCATGGTGAGGGCTCCACGGATGGTCTTTGGCGCAGATTCGGCAGCGTAGACAGGCGTAGTCGAGGACTTTGCGCCGACAGCAAATCCGAGCATGAAGCGCGCGACAAGAAGGTTTGGCCCTATCGTAATCGTCAGCTCTCAGTTCATACGTCTATTGGCGAGTCTTTACTCACAGCTTTCAGCGGCCGCCATCCAAATACCAGTGATGAAAGAGATGATGCAAGAGATGAAGATGGTTCCACGGCGGCCAAAGAACTTGTTCAGGGGTGCGTTGGACCAGCATCCGATGAGACAAGAGCAAAGGTAAGGAGCCCCGTTAAGCAGACCGCGAAGCCACACCTGGTCTTCTGTGATTCCGAATTCTCTGAAGTAGAATCCCTGGACAAGATGTTAGTGGCGAAACGTGATGAGATGGGAACGGCATAGCAACTGACCTGAGCACCGTTGACAGCCGTCTGGTCCATTCCTTGCACAATGGCAGACCCAGCGCAGAGCACAACCAAGAAATACAACATTTTAGGTTGAGACCACCGATGGGTAACCTCGTGTCGTAGCCAGTCTTTCTCTTCGGTGGACAGTTGATTGACGTATTCAAAACCATCGTCTCGTTGGCCTACACGAGCAATGAGGGCGCCCTTGCGGAACTCGTCCTGGTACTCCTGTAGGCCCTTCTCAACACACCACGCGTCGACGTCAGCTAGGACATGTTCCTCGCTATAGCCGGCCAAGGGGTTCCTGAGCTTTGCGGCGACCGAAGCCTTTCGCTGCGGAGCAGCGCCGGCATGTTCATGATGCTGCCCGGCACCGAAGTCGGACTTGTCACTACCCGATGATGAGAAGTTGGGCTCGGTAGCCTCGATGTCTGGCTTTCGACGAGACATGGTGACGACTGATCTCAGGTATCGCGTCTAGATGGGATCTCCTGGGGGGAGTGGAGATGCTGATCGCAAAGTGGAGGAGTAAAAAGACACACGACCAGATGCCTGGGAACCATGACAGGTCGTGTTATATAGGGTATCCGGGGCACAGTTCACACCCACATTTTCTCCATCAAAGAGCGGGTCAAATCCTGCACCAGGGTGACAATCCCCATGTTTTCTCCACACCATCCTTCTCCGTTGCACTGGTTGGCGTATGTAACTATACATCGAGATCAGACACGGGGCGGCCGCGCCGAGACATGGAGTTGTATGTTTACCCAAGATTATCCAAGAAGACATGTCTGGGACGATGTCATTGTGGGCACACGCGCTTGTTGGTTTCTCGGCGGAAGCTAAATGTATACTTGGCAGTGGAGCGCGGCAGGGCGTTCTGGGTAGCCAAGAAAGCACGTGAAGTCTCGTCGTAACTCGCCTAAACATAGTTGAGCGTTCCGACCAATTGGGATTTTGTCGGTAAGGTTTAAGGGAACAACGTTGTGGTGAACGATTACGACGCCACATGACGAGCTTGGCGTCAAGCGGAATGCGCACTTGGCGCAGACCATCTTTACCAGAAATGGCATTCCGTCTTATCGACTATCGGCACCCAGTTCCGGCCTCGACTCAAGGCTGTCAGCGCTCTGCATGATCAAAAATAATGAGCCTGAGAAAGTAGCGTAGAGAAAGTTTCGGTGGGTGATGGCAAGGATACTATTCATTGCTGGCTCGTAGGAAAATACGGTTGTTACACTTGAAACCTGGAAGCCTGGAGAGTGAAGAAGAGGTGGTCTTGGATGGACATTGGCGAGCCGTGCAAACCGCTGAAAAGCCTGGTAAGCCTGAGCTTAGTAGACCACTTCTTTCGATAGTATGAGGCTTCAGTCCACCTGGGCGTGGGTCCACGCGCCACGCAGCAGCAGATTATCCATTTCCTTGGAAACCGTCTCGTTCGAGGCCTTGAGCTTCAAGTAGTGCTGGCTGGTCCTGCGTTCGTCCTCCACCCAGACGTTAGTGCCATTTGGGAACAGAAAGTTGTACCCATTTTCGTTTCCGTACTCGAACCAACTGCCCAGGCCCCTGCCCGCATAGACCATGGTTAAAAAGTCCCATGAGTATTCGGAGGTGTTGTAAGACCCCCAGTACTCCCAAGCCGATTTAACTGGGTCATTCGGGGGTCCACACACAGTAAACCGTGCGCCCGACAGGACCTCGACGCCCACCTCTGCGCCAAGGAAGGTCATCGGAACACAATCGGGCCATGTGTTGATGACGTGTGGAGCGTTCTGAATCGCGAAATTGTACTCCGCATCGATGGCTGGCTCTTGCGAGTAACCGCCGCCCATGACCACTAGTTCCTTCACCTTTGCCTTAACAAGCGCGTATCCATCCAACGCGGAGTATTTATCGCTGGTCGTATTGAGAAGGCCAGACAACGATCCCATGAAACCAATCGAGACAACAGTCACACTGTTGTTCTTCGCTTCCGCGAGCGTCTTCCGATAGAGCTCTACTGGATCCAAAGTCTTGTTAACCTGCCCATTAGGCACCGAGCCGCCGGACCATCCAGCAGCGACCTTGCTTGCATATTCTCCTCCGAATGGTTCAGGCGATGTGATGTTCGTGTAGGGTCTAGGCAACCCAATCGGGACGGAAGAATAGCCGTAGTGGTTCACGATGGCTGACGCTGCGTAGGCAGAGTATGTCGAATTGACGTTGATGTTCACAGCGAGGAGGTTTGTGTTCGGCAAAGTGCACGCGAGGAGCAGGGCTGCAGTATCGCTGTTGCACTGTCAGCTATGCGTTCAGGTTTTACGTGGTACAGGACACTTACTCAATAGCTTCAAAAAGATCAGCATCCACAAACAAATTCTTGGTCTCTGGTGTTACACTCGACGCGACTGAGGTCGCGAACGACAAGACTGCCAGCCAACAGGGCAGCGCGAAACGTGAAAACATGGCGTCGCAGACTCAAGGCGATAGAAAACAGGAAAAGAGAACGGAGAATATACGGAAACTAGCAAGAGGCGTAGTGTTACGAATGTGGCGGGATCCCACGGTGTACAAGGAGGAAATACTTAACCTTTCAGTCTACTTGACTACTGCAGTGCGACGCCCCGCCATCGGATCTCCACAGTGAAAGACTTCGGCGATAAACGGCAGATCCAAGTTCTTCATTGTACAGTAGTGCGCAGATCAGATCGAATGAGATGTCGCGATCCTGGTGTACAACATGCGGCGTGCGATAAGGGCGTGTGCAAGGGTTTTGTCGCGTTTAGGCATTTCGGTGTCATTGCGGACGCGCAATGGAGACGACCTGGGATGTATTTTCCTCGTTCTCTTCATTGCGCTCTTGCTGTGGTACTGTGATGCCGTGGAGCTAATGTGGTGGTCGAGTTCAGATGACGTGACGAGATCTGTGACGATCGTATCCGCCAGCTCGGAAGCTGCGAAGGCATCACTAATAAGCATCAGCATTCGCCGGTTTCTTCGACAAAAGATACTTTGCAGACCATCCCCCAATTCTGCGACTCAAGTGCCAGAAAGATACAGATATGCATAAACTCGCAATTTACTTGGCCGCATCGCTGCTAGGGTTGACTGCCGCTTATCGCGAATGTGCCGACGCGAAAGACGTCATCGCCAAGCTTCAACTCGAGCCGAACCTAGAGAAGGGCTACTTTCGACAAACCTTTCAAGATACCGGTACCATCGGCAATCGCTCATACTCAACCGCCATCTACTATCTACTCGAAGGCCAGTCCGGTCCATCTTACTGGCATCGCGTTACCGATGCTGTCGAGATATGGCACTTTTACGCTGGCGCCCCTCTCACGCTGGAGCTATCGTGGAACAACGGCACTGCGACTCAAGAGCAGATTCTAGGTAGCGACATCTTCAGGGACCAGGCTCCGCAAGTCATCATCGCAGAAGGCCAGTGGCAGCGGGCGACCAGTTTAGGCAACTGGACGCTGGTAGGCACGACGGTAGCACCTGGCTTCTCGTTCGATGGTTACGAGTTGCCGGGACCAGAGTTCACGCCAGACGACGGCCATGGATCCCACAGTTTGTAGCGAAGCAGGGACACAGATATGCCCTTGAATCTAAAGAGGCTCCATGACTCCTAAGCTTGCCACATTGTCGACGCAAGGCTACCGGTGATGCCGGAGTCCGCTAGGCTCACCGACTTATTCACCACGACTCAGTTCGACCACCGCTCGCAAGCCCAAACTCCGTAGAGATTCGCAAGAAAACATCAAAACCAGGGTGAAACCGTGCATGACTGCGCACGTGGCACCCAGCTTTGAAGCCCTATTTGGTTCGCTCCGTGTACAGACATTCCTAGCTGCAACATCCATAACGTCGACCTGAATTCCCCAGTACAGCTATATTCCGGCTAGTATGCTTTAAGAAAACAAGAGAAGGTCTAAATGTTTAGGTTCATTCCTCTTCAGGAGACAGCGGGCTGATCGAAGCGCACATAATGTCCGTTGAATTGCCCGCCGCCGGACTTCGCTTCATGGTGGCATCCAGACCTTGCATCACGCGAAAGATATCCGAGGACACCACTCCAGGCCTTTGCTATGTTCATGGAAGAGAAGGCTTATCCTCGGATCTTCAGAGGCATCAGCTGTGGCGCGCCTACTCATGGTCTATCTCCGATTAAGCGATGCGAACGAGGAAGATGTCGGAGATACGCAAGCTTACACACCAAAACCTACCTCAATAGTATCAGATGATAGTATACAGACCACTGGTATCTCCTCGTGACGATGCAGTCTTCTCCTTACGTTCCGGTCGCACCCCCGAGGGTCGACCGCTTTACTTCGCTCGCGAACGCAGTCATTCCGATACCGATCAATCTACCATAGCACACAGACTTGATGATACGCGCTTTGAACTATTCGTGGCGTCAGAAGCTGCTACCTGCCTTAGCTACACTACCTTCTGGTATCTCTGGTCGTATATACGATTCAGACGACAGGCTTCCTAGCATGAGCGTTCACAAGTCGTAATTTTCGCGCCACTTCAGCTCTTTGCAAAGTTCCAACTACAATCCGATGGTGGCTCACGGCTGAGTAAGCTACAAAGTATAGACAGGGGAAGCGGATTGGCTGCGGACTTTGCGCAAGCCACGACGTGTGATCTAAGCGTAGCTCCTCGAAATCCTCTGCTGTCCGGCCGACACTTCGAGCACTGGGTTGCCGCATCCTTCCCGCCGCCTGATGCAGATACGGTGTGCCCTAGTCAGGAGTGAGCGATCAATACCCATGCTGACTGTGTTCGTGTATGACTACGAGGTCATCCATCTCCATCACCGTTTGCCCACATTCACATTCGAGCGAGGCGTTCCAAACAACACGACATCCGAACGTCAAATCTCCGTTCTTCGCAGCTCGAAATCATACTATCATTGTCTTCATTCGTGGACATGGCGAGAGGGTGGGCCCGTATCCCGCCATGGCGTTTGCTGGAGCAGTCGAGTGAGCAGAAGGGCTTTTGATCATCTGTGCTGAAGCATGAAGGCCGTCTATCATGGAATCAGATATAAGAGTTCAAACGATCTGCTCCATTGCTCCACAGCAGCATCTTCGCCAGCGTTCTCGCTTCGCATTGTTGTGTTCTTTTCTGTCAGTCTTTATAACTCAACACTCGTTACTACCATCGCATTGAGCCGAGATGAAGTCTTTTGCCATCCTTGGGACGGCTCTCTTGGGCCTTCTCGCTCCAGTAACAACCGCAATAGCAATTCCGTCTGAAATCGCTGAGCTTGCGCCTTTCACGCCAAAACGAGATGGCCTCGAGGAACGTCAGTCGTCAGCGGCATGTGTCAACGGCCCCACTACGAGGAATTGCTGGACCGCTGGATTCAACTCTTCCACAGACATGTACACCTCTTGGCCCAATACAGGTGTGGTTCGCTCCTACAATCTGCGCATTGAGAATACGACTTGCAACCCTGACGGTGCTGGCTCAAGGGTTTGCATGTTGATCAACGGAAGAACTCCAGGTCCCACCATCGTTGCCAACTGGGGCGATACCATCAGAATCACTGTTCGCAACATGCTTCAATCCAATGGCACTTCCATCCACTGGCACGGCTTCCGCATGCTCAATAAGAACATCCAGGATGGTGTCAACGGGGTCACCGAATGTGCGGTAGCACCCGGTGACCTCAAGACATACGAGTTCCAGGCCACCGAATACGGAACAACTTGGTATCATTCGCACTTCTCGCATCAGTACGGGGATGGAGTTGTCGGAACATTCATTGTCAACGGTCCTGCCACCGCAAACTATGACGAGGACCTTGGAGTTATGCCGATCACAGACTGGTTTTACAAGACTGCCTTTCAAGCAGCCTCCATAGCATTCCAGAATGGGCAAGCTGGATTGGGTCCCCCTGTACCCGACAACATCCTGATCAACGGTACTTCTAAGAACGCAGCCGGGGGTGGTGCTTACAATCGAGTGACGATGCAAGCGGGTAAGCGCTATCGTCTGCGACTTGTGAACACCGCAGTCGACACCAGCATGACTGTCAACCTCGACGGCCATCCTTTCCAAGTCATCGCAAACGACTTCGTCCCCGTCGTCCCATACAACACCACTCACCTTCAACTTGGTATCGGCCAACGCTACGACGTCATCATCACTGCGAATCAGACAGCTGGAAACTACTGGTTCCGTGCCGACGCTAACGGCCTTTGCCAGTCGCGGGCCGCTCTCCAAGGACGCGCCATCTTCACGTACCAAGGCCAGACAGTGGCCGATCCCACCTCAACTGCTCCAGCCAACCCCTTCACAATCTGTGCCGATCCAATCACCACCCCGAAAGTCGCAAAGAACGTGCCCAGCACCACATTCGCCGCGCAAGCCAAGAACCTCCCCGTCGCTTTCGGTCCAGTAGCAGCAAACGGCAACACAGTCCTCTGGACCATCAACGGCACGTCCATCATCATCGACCCCGGAAAGCCGACCGTCCAATATGTCGCAGAGAACAACAACAGTATCCCGCAATCTTACAACGTTGTGCAGGTACCATCAACATCGGCATCCACTTGGACCTACTGGGTCATACAGCAAGCTGTAGGCGCACCGCCCATCGCCCACCCTATCCATCTTCACGGCCATGACAGCTATGTCCTCGGCGGCGGTGACGGTCAATTCAGCATGGCGACGCACTTCAGCTCGCTGCGCTTCACCAACCCACCCCGTCGCGATGTTGTTCAGCTCAGAGGAAGCGGGTGGCTCGTTCTCGCATATCCGACTGATAACCCTGGTGCTGTAAGTACACACTCCTTATCCCAACCATCCCAACCATCCCAACCATCCCCCAATATCGCTACTGCAATAACAAATACTAACATCCTTCTCCCCAGTGGCTAATGCACTGCCACATCGCCTTCCACGTCGGCATGGGCCTCGGCATCCAGTTCCTGGAGCGCAAATCCGAAATCAATCTTCCGGCTGCGGGCTCTGAGTGGAAGCAGAATTGCGCTAATTGGGCTGCTTACAAGGCTGGGACGACGGATGTTTGGCCTCAGGATGATTCTGGGCTTAAGAAGCGATGGCCTCCGATTGTTGAGGGGACTTCGTCGTTTAGGCTGGACTAGGCTGGACGTTTGATCGGATTCTACGAGTGACGTTTTGCTGGTAGTGGCTCAGCTCTGTCTGCTTTTCGCGTTCGATTCTTACACTCCTTTGACAATACTTTGGGTTTATGGCTTCTTTCGATTACATATCTTGCTGTCGCTGCTTCCCAGCTTTTTGGAGGAGATAGCATGTAAATATTTGGTGCGCTACTTCTTATTTCGTTGTATATATTGCAATAACATACATTTCGCGAACATGCTCCAACTTGATGCGCTGATTACACAGGCCAGCAGAAACGACGCTTTGACCGGGTTCTTTCATGATACGTTCTTCGGGATCAGAGCGACGGAACCAAGTATGAT